TATATGTAAGTAGTTACTTACGAGCCGAGTCGAGTCGAGTCTTTATGGTGTCTCGGCTCGGTAACTCAGGGCCCCAGCAGCAGCAGCTGACACTCGGCAATCGGGCGCGTTTGCAATTACAGAAAACCAGTCAGAGTCTTCCCATCGAGAGTATGATCTGAGTTAGGAGCTGAACCGAGCTGAACTTCACCAGTGCTTTTCCCATGCAACGTCTGCTGTCTGCGTGGCAAATGCACCTGTCGCATTCAGTGCTTGTGCGCAGCCAGTAGCCAGTGGCCAGTGGCGAGTGCCGAGTGGCAATGGTTCAGAGTAGAAAACTGGTCCCGGGCTCAAATTTTTGAACTGCAATCCCAAAGTTTATATATATATTATAGGAAAATATAATTCAAGTTCACACACAATAATTGGTTCCATATGGCATTATCTTTGGGATTTGGTTATTATCTTTGGCATTTGAAGATTGTTAAAGAGTCTCCTAATATTTGAAGGAGATCATCAGCTTCGATATTTTCACTTTGCTATTCTTAACCCACTAACGGAAAAAAACTAATAACCTACCCTGAATCAATTGAAGAATTAAGTGCTCATTTACAACTCACCTTTGCTTTTGCAGCTTGATTTGAATAGTTATTCCATATAATCGCTATTTTACAATTCCTTTTTCTTTTAATTTTGTTGACTAGGTCCACTTATTTTATTTTAAATCTCTAAATTTGTATATGGCACTTGAATAAATGTTCATTCAGTCGCTTGAGTCACATTTCACTTTTAGCCGTACATACTACCGACCGGGGTAGTTGTGCTGGGAGGCTTACGGCGATCCAAAGGTTTGAAAAGTTTTTCTAATAGTTTTCCGGCATTGTCAAGTCATATTTGACATCAACGTCAAATTGCTGTCGATTTTCCTTCTCTCTGCCAGTAGTCGCCGTAAACACAAAAAAACATTTTGTTTATTGTGATAAGTGTTTGACCTTTTATTGCCAGTTCAAATTTAGTTTTGTGGACCGACTATTCGAGTGAGAATATAGGCATACTCATTGTCGCTAGCGTGTCCCCCTCTCTCTCTCTCTCTCTCTCTCTTTCTCTCTCTCTCTCTCTCTCTCTCTCTCTCTCTCTCTCACTCAGCTTCAGACGGCAATACTCGATCGGTTCTAAATACACACACACACACTCACAAAGGGACATTTATAAGTCCACCGACACGACATCCTAAGCCACGCTTTTAAACATAGTTTCAGCCCAATTGGGTTATAATTACGGTGATTAAGGGCAACGAATAAAGGCTTACTTTTGCGCATTTAAATTTGCGAGTTTTTTTAAGTTCGATTGTTGAGATGTTGAGTTCGAAGCACGCGTGAAACGTGAAACGGACTAGCGGGAAAACGGTCTACCGACAACTGCAAGAGTAGCAGAAACGGTGACGACAACGACGACGACAGCGACAACAATTGTAACGGCGACACGACAACCTAACCTCCACCACCACCACCACTGCGTGGCAATGTTCAATTGTCACTGATTTCAATTGGATTCCAATTCCATCTTCGACCGCTTCAACGGGCTGCATTATGATGCGACTGTGAGAGGAATGCTCTTCGGCTCCACGACTGATTTAAGAGATTCATCTTTATTCGGCTTTGGCTTCGGTTTCGGTTTCGCATTCGTATTTTCTATTTACACTCACATTTTTCTTTTTGTGCAATCATCTCTTCAGCATTAGTCTCTTGGACTTAAGAGAGCCTTCCATAGTCACAGATATAGCGGAGAGAAGCTGCTGAGCAAAGCGACGCAAGTAACCAATGATAGCGTTTCACTGCCCATTGACAACCAATCGCTGTTATATCGAATTCGGCCCCGCCCAGTGAGCGCCCGGTGTCATATAGAGCACTCATGACTCTTAAAACTGGTTTTTGACCCTGTAAGGGCCGAACAGGCCATATTTATCCTTAAATAAGTATACACTGGAATAAATTTCATTCTTATTATGTGCATATTCATGTTTCCGTCTAAAAAATTCGTACTGCGCTACATCCTAATCTTTCAAATCTCCTTTTGTGTTATATTCCGCTCCCAATTGTAGTCCAGAAAATAAATTAATTTAAATTATTTAAATTCATTTTTTTTTCTTCAAATATAAACAAAAAACAAACAAGTAATAGGTTCTAGTCGGGAGCTCCCAGCTAGGGGATACCCTGAACCCTCTTCTTCCAACATCAAATGTATATATATATTCTATTTTGGAAGCTACATGTCAAGTTTGGTGACTATAGCTCTTATTATTTACTAGGAGCACCTACACTTTAAAATTTCAAGTCTCTAGCTCTTATAGGCTCTGAGATCCTTGCGTTCATACGTACGGACGGACGGACGGAAGGACATGGCTAGATCGACTCGGCTATTGATGCTGATCAAGAATATATATATTTTATGGGGTTTGAGATGCTTCCTTCCCACAAATGCAATATACCCTTATACCCATTTTTAATAGGTTCAGGGTATAAAAATCAATCGTGGTACGATTTATGTATGTGTTGAACATGTTGATCATGCAGTTAAGTTTTAATCAACGCGCAGAAGATAGAGATAAGAAGCTGCGTAACAAGAGTTGAAAAATGGCGAAAAACTTTTGTCTACTATCCGATTTTCTGAGATTCATTTGATTTTCGCAAAATCTGCCCTCTAAGATAATAAATGCAGATAAAATTATATAAGGGCGAAGTATCAAGAGCTTACTTTCAAAGCCGCACCTTTAAAGAATGCGTATTTCTCCGATTTTCGGAATTCCATCAATACGGGAACTGGGTAAGTAACATTTTAAATGTACGCAGCAGGCTTAGGATGCACTTTCTAGATGATATCTATAAATATCAGTAATCGTAAGTTTTAATTTTCACACACAATAAACTTCCAAATGAATCAGGGTACATTTCCCCAATGGATAAAAATATAATATATATACACAAATTATATTTTATTATTTACTATAATTATCGGACCGTTCTTGGCCGATTTTTGAACATTCATAATAAATATGAAAAATTTTAACGTAATTTTTATTTCAATACAAGCGCCATCCCTTGTGCAACTTGAACAATAAACACATCATCTAATATGTAATGAGCGCCACCTATCATAAAAACTCACTAGCCCCATTTTTGTCTAAATTAAATTTACCATTTTTTTAATAATGGTAATTAGCCGTTAATTTTAAAATAAATGCTTTATATGACATTTTTTTTGTAGAGCCACGCTTACAATCGAAAAGCGCCATCTTTCAGCAATGATACGCTTATATTGTGTTCACAAACCCTTATTACGAATTACGAGTTAGGAATTACTTTTTTTCGGGAATCACAAATTATGTGTTTTGCAAAATGAGTTTGGTAGAGATAGTTAACCGTTAAGTTACACACTAGTACTGCTAAATTCAATAAGGTGCAAAACCTTTCTTGATAGTACGTGTAACAAATTAGGAGTTTCTTTCGGAAACGCAACATTTGGTCATGCCGCACATCGAAACATTTAAAATTTCTACACACGGTGCGGAACTTTGATAGGCTGATATAATTTTATACAATTATTGACTTAATTTAAGACAAGTTGACTGTACATATAAATATATATGTTTTTATTTCAGTAGAATCAGTTGACTTAACTGAATTTTTTTTTTTTTACAGAAAAAGAAAGATTTGAATTTCGGAAGAGAGCTTAATGTGTTGACAGAATGGGTTTGGTGGTGATATTTGATAATTTACCGTTGAGTTTTACAATTAGTACTGTCAAATTCGATAAGGTTGTAGGCCTTGCTTTGCACTGAATATTTTCAAACGACGTAGTATGCTTTATAAACGGTGCAATGCAGAAAATGCTAAATACTACTACGTCATATATTGGACGCGAATAAGCATGAGCAGACAAAATAAATATACTTTTCCGTCAGCATGCTCAGCGTGGGCAGATGGAATTACCAACCCAATCAAGTCTTGTCACTTACTTAACATATTCAAACGAAATAATGCTACGGTCCTTACTCAATTGGTAATGTTAAATAAATTTTGCCAGATGTATTAACATGGCATTGTGAATTTTGAATTCCTGATATCGGATAAAAAATATTCGATTATTAAAGAAAAAAAATTATTAAAAAAAATTGGCTTTGACGTAATAGTTTAATTTTAAAAATATTTTGCCAATGTTCGTATACTCAATACCTTGGTCGAAAGTTGAAAAACAAGTTGTTCCAAAAAAAGCATACAAATTGAGACAATATGCCGCTTCCTGCTGTGAGCAAACCAGTTGATTAGGCTATGTTATCTTGGCCTAACATAACGATGTTGGCCTAACAGCTGGTCTACGTCGACGAACGAACACACTTCTTTTGGACTCTTCACTGTCTGTTAGCGATTGTTTAGAAAATGCTTTTAAACTTATTTACTGTAAATGGCTAACAAGAAAGCACTAGTCGGAAATGGTTCTTTGGCTCCTCATTTGTATGAGTATCTGCAAAAAGATATGGGTGGTGCCTAGTTTAGTTTGCTGTTGGATGAAACAACAGATAGAAATTATTTGCATTTAGTCGGCATTAGCGAGTCCTATGAAGATTCATTTAATTATCCAATTTTTTGTATTTGTTGTATACTCTATTACTTTAATTGAGAATATCAAACAAAAAATACCTTTAATATTGCAGCTTTTTGTTTAGCTTTTTTTTACATTTGATTTTTTTTTTTCGTTTTTTTTTTTTTTCTTTAAGGCAGATCCCTGTTTTTTGGTTACTCAATAAATGGCAACACTGGTCAGAATCAGAATCGTCCAAGTGGACAGCAGTCGAAGGCCATGTCATGCAAAATCGGAAAAGCCAGTTTAGGAAGCAAGGCTAAAAATTTAGCGTCGCATGCTAATGTATGGGCGTTACTCATCTTAGTGTTTAGATTGCCTTTGGCTTGACTATGGTGATACTTGCCTAAGTACAGGTTCTTCTGGTTAAATAAAGAAACGAGTTTTCGACATAAAAAGGTTAGGATAAGGATTTTATTTATGCTTTACGTGTGTTGTGACAAGGGATGACATCAGTAAATGGGATTTAACTATCTTTAACTAGATAAGAGAGCCCCCTTTAAACGGAAACATTATTTAAAGACTTTATTTTCACAAGTATTCTGCACTTATGAGAGCTAACATTTTTATTCTCACGAGTCCTCTTTTACTGGGCTGCGAGTAACATATTCTTAATTCATTCATCATTACCGGGTGGGATCAGTGTCTACTTATGTATAGTATTCCAGTGTCGAATATTATGGCTTGACCAAACGGTACTTGGATTAAGATTTATTAGGTAACAGTTCTATAGGCGGGGGAGTGGTCATAGTTTTCGATTGGGCTCTGGATGCTTCCAGACTAGCTCGACGAGTTGCTGCTGCCATATATGTGTCGTAGTATTTGCTCAGGAGCTGGGGATCGACACTATTAAGTTCCACATAGGCATTTGGCAGCGACATTGCCATTGCCAACGGCGATGTGTGTGCTGGTGTGGCCGATTCGCTCAATAGTCCTGGAACAGAAGCCGCTGCTAGGGGGCATTCCTCTAAAGAATTCGAGTCCTGTTGGCTACTGCTCGCCGCCGAGCTGTCCAATGGCGGGGAAACAGAAACAGAAACTGAAAAATTGTGGGGCTCCTGCTCTTCAATGTCCGCATCGAATATGGATTGCCTGGCATCGCTAAGGTACGAATTAGTGTCATCAGGCAAGAGCATATGCTGAATGACTTGGCTTCTTAATGGGTGGCTCATGTGCTTTTGGTGTTGCCCTGCATCCTGGCCTTGCAACTCATTAACGTCTCCATCACCAAATCCGTCAACATCAATATCTGCATCCACATCGCCATCAGCAGTATTTGGGTTAGTGCTGGGACTTTGTCGCTCCACAACCAATTCGCGGTGGATCATTTGCTGTTTTTTTACTTGTACCTTTGTGATAACCGTATGCTGGGTCTGGGTCGATGAGTCCTCATCTTCAACAATATCCACAATCTGCACATCTGGCGCAAGAAGCGAGGCGACATCAAACTGGCGTTTTCGCGTCTGCGAATACAGATTTGCAATTGTGGTCGTCGTTGTAGAGTTGATGTAAGCTATATGCTGATGATGGGATTGTGGCAGATGCTGATGTGGGTGCGGGTGCTGTGATAGCTGATAGCTTGGATCCAATCTTGGCTCTGGCTGCTGCTGCTGCTGCTGCTGCTGCTGAATGTGGATCTGCTGCCGCTGGAGAGCTGTGGCTGCAGCCGTGTATTGGGGCAGATTGCAGGGGGGATGGGAAGCACCAACGACACTGCGACCAAAGAACTGACCAATGTATTGTTGATGGTAGGGATAGTTCAGGGCAGCGAGCTGCATTGATGCCTGCGCGGCGGGAGGTGGTGGTGTGGTTAAGTCTAATGGAGGCGGGCTCGGGGAATCTGTGCTGGCATCATCAACGGAGAGCCCCATGTGCCTGCGCACCTTGCGCTGGGCTTTCCGTCGCCGAAAGTCACCTTTGCGAAAGTCATCCATGTTGGCGGGATGAATAGCCCAGTAATGGCCCTTGCCATTCGCACTGCGCCCAGATTTGATAAAGCAGTCGTTTAGGGATAGATTATGCCTGATCGAGTTCCTCCAGCCGGGCCCACGGGTCCGAAAGTACGGGTAGTTATCCAAAATATATTGATAAATATCTGAAAGCACTAGTTTCATTTCAGCGGAGCTCAGAATGGCCATTGCAATAAGTCCAATATAGCTGTGCTGTGGCTTTGGCTCCTCTGGCTGAAAAATGCGCTGAGACTGAGGGAACAGCGAGATCGTCGATAGCGTTGCCAGACGGTTTCCAGCTCCTGCACAGTGAGAGCTGTATGGATGTAGCCAAGTGGGCAATGCCGTCGAGCCAACGCCCGATCCCGCAGCAGACGCGTATTGGGGACACCTTAGACGCTCAATGTTAAGTGCATAATTGTACAACTGCAAGCGATACTGTTCCAAGGCCATGGTGGTCACCTGAGGAGGCGTCTGCCGAGGGATTGTCGTATTGGTTGACCCACAGCCGGTGCTGCCAAGCGATCCGCGAAGGGGATAGGTGCCAGTCACGAAATGCGGCTTTAGACTTGGAGCGCGAGCGCCTGAATTTGATTCGTCCTGTTGATGACTGGGCGAGGAAGACCGCGATTGGGTTAAGTCTGTGTTTGCCATCGGACTTATTCTTGTTTTGTTTTTTTCTTCTTGTTCAATTAGGCAACATTTACAATATTTATAATTATCATAAGAGCCTCTTCGACTTCTCTTTGTGCGGGACCCATTCCAAATTCTTTAAATTGAAAACTGAAAGAAAATGTTTTCAAATTTGTTTTATACATACTTAAGTAAACAAGTAATCAAAACTTAAATAGGTTATTTATTAGAAATAATCTGTTTTACTCCCTATTTCGCAAAATCTCCAAAAATTTTATATTAACACTAGCTGCATTAACCCAGCGCTGAATCAGATAAATTCTGCTCGATATAGGGCGGAACTTCATGTGGGGTCAACAGGGTCGACGGACCAACGATCTGCTTTGTATTGATCTTCGGTATTTATGTTAATGAGAGCTCCACTTGATGTCACTTGCAAAGTGATGACCGTGTTTCTCGTTTTCACGCTTGATAATAAAAACACACTTCAAATCTCGAGAGTATACGCAGCCGTCCGTTTTAAGTAGTTCGTAAGCATGTCCAAACGAATATTTATGAATATATTCGTAAATGTATTCTTATAAATATGTGTATGTATGTATACCTCTAAATCCAGCATAACAATATGAATGCACAGAGACGCGCTAATTGTTTTCATTTTATTTTTATGCTAATCGATCCAGCGTTGATAACAGGCGAATATTGTTTGTCATTTTCAGAACACCGCATTTCTATTAAATGTACTTATATCGCGGTCTGTGTACCCTGTATACCTGGTATCAGATGGTCACTTTTCGTATTCTCCCAATCGACGTTCACCCTGTGCTTATTAACAACTATTACACGAAACATTTTCTAGAACCAGACAAGTACCATCATAGGTCATCCAGACTGGTAGTCTATCTCAAACGCACAGCGAGCTTCACATTCCCTGGGTTAAAGAGTAAATAGCAAAGACCAGTGACAGGTACGCCAGGTACACTTGGAACTCCAAAATGAGGCACCCGATTGACCTTCTGATGAAGAAAAAAAGCCCTCCAGTTCACAAAACTAATACCCTGCATACTCACCCATCGCATCCAACCCAAACAAATTCTTTCTCTTAATAAAAAAAAAGAAATGTCCGTCTTTTAATTTAACTATTGCCTCCTTAAATAAATATCGAATAATAAGAACAAAAAATAATAAAACAAGTAAGAGGTTCTAGTCGTCAGCTCCCGACTAGGGGATACCCTGAACCCTCTTCTTCCAACATCAAATGCATATACATATTGTATTTTAGAAACTACATGTCAAGATTGGTGATTCTAGCTCTTATTATTTACCAAAATTGCCCAAGAATATCATTATCGATTTTTATCGATTGCTTGGAAACGGAGTAAGTTACCGGAAACAAACTCGATCTACGCAGGCACTAGGAGTACCTACATCTAAAATTTCAAGTATCGAGCTCTTATGGGTTCCTTGGACAGACAGACATGGCTAGATCAGCTCGGCTATTGGTACTTTAAAAAAAGTTTTATACAAAAATAGATAGGATCTTGTATATGAATGAAAAATAGTTAAGCTATTAAATTAAATAAATTAAAATTAAAGCAATACAAAAATTTGTTCATACAAGTACCTACTTACTATCTATCGTTCTTTTATGCTATATAGCTATAGCTATATGAAATACTGTTCCGATCCCGCCGGTTACGACACATGTATTGTGTGCAGCAAAAAGACCTGCATGTGATAGCTGTCTGCTCTTAAGCGTTACAAATTTTTTGCTAAAATTATAGTACACTCTTCAAAGGCTTAGAAATATCTTATTTCCATTTTTATAATGTGTTCCCAGCCTCGCCTCCGACATATGATTGCATACAAACAGACGGACATGAATTTGTTGTCCCAGCGCGTGGTCCTGGTCACCTTAGAGTCGAAGATGTTAATTTCGGTAGAACATAAAATGTCACTTCGCGATGATTTTCAAAAAATTAGCATACTGCTGACAACTACCCTAAAACTTAAGGATATGTAAGTAATTAATTTTAACAATATTTATCACTGCAGTCAATTACTGAAAAATTGCCAATTGCTTTTAGCTTAAGAAGTTTAGTTTCAGGTATACTTGATGACTCTTTTCATTGGCCTAAGGTATTATAGCCACACTTATCACTTACACTTATTACAGTTGCAGTACAATTTTAATTTCTATGTTATATCAACGTAAGTTCAAGGGCATTGCGGGCACTTAAACTTGAATGCACATAACTTTATTATACGAATTTATTGTCATATCTGTTATTTAACCAAAATTTTAAAAACTTGTATATACGATTACGATTAACTGAAGTATGTAGGTCATTTATATATTAATTTTAACTATGTTTTGATAATTATAAATCCATGTCGATATCACTGGTTACAACTAGCTATGTGGTAAATTTATTCCGGAATATGCACATTGGGTATATAGGCGATCGATCGAAAATTAGATTGCAACTATCCGCGAGCCAGGCATAATAGACTAATAACTCAACTCACGTTGAGTTTGAAATCATGCGTGTGGTCGGCGCTGAGTTTCAACTAGGTCTGGGTGAGTAAGCGAAAATTGATTTTGCAAAATGGATGAGGTTGGCCTGACTAGTCGCACGCCTCGCAGGGTAGTAGCACAGAAATAGGCCCCGCCCAAAGTCGTGTGTATGCTGCATTTTGATTGGTACTTCCTCAGCAAGGCTGCAGGGCTGGCTGTTTACAACAGGTTTCAACAGCCAACCAGATTCGCTTTCGCTGTTATTACAACAAATATATACAGAACTCTTGTTGTCTTTGCTGACAAGCCCTTTGCCTAGTCGCGGATCTAGCTATCTTACTTCCTCAAGCGCACTCAGGATACATTAGTTTCAAAATGTCGCAAACACCTTCGGGTATATTGCTTAAACATTTTTAACAATTAAATGTTGGAGCCACAGTCTGAAACAAGCAAGAGTGCTCTTGCCGAGAGTGCTTGAATAGGAGACACTCCGTACCGAGCTCCGAATATTATACATATATATGTACGCATATCACACGCATGTCACACGCATCGCAAACAGGGTCCGTACCTTAACCAGGGGTTGTGTGTTTATTCCATATTTTGAAAATGTTGTATTAACATGACAAGCGACTGTATTTAAATATTTCCCAAATGTAACACAGTTGTTAAGGCTCAAGCAAAGAATATAAATCTATAAATGGTATTAAGATGATATCTACGAACGTGATTAAAATTTGTATATTCCCATTGAAAATTGGCAACAAGAGTTTAATCTTTATGTGCAAATGTATGTAACAGGTAGAAGGAAGGATCTCCACCCCATAAAGTGTATATATTCTTCAAAAGATTCAAAAAGCCGTGTCGATCTAGCCATGTCCGTCTATCTGTCGATATATAGTAATAAGGGCAGCCGGACACGGCTATATCGCCGCGGCTATTGATGCTGACCAAGATATAATATAATTTCCTTGAAATGTAAATATTGATCTTATATTAAAACCTAAATGCTTACAAGGGTATGAAATCTTCGGTACCCCTAAAATAGCCATTTTTTCTTGTTAACTAATTCGGGTATAGACTTTAGAACGATATAAAGTCTCTAGTATAATTAAAAGTAAATAAGGTAAACGAGAGGTAAGTTGACAAAGGTAAACAAGATGCGTACATTTTGGGAAAGTCCTAATCTTGTCGACTCTTTGCAGAACAAATCAGTCTCTCAAGTGCATTCAGGAAACGACTGAAGAATGACAAAGGCAAATTGAAAATCCGCATTCGCAAATCGGCCAGACGCTAACAATGCTGTTAAGATTCCCGATTCTGAATCGATCCGTTTGGCTTTGGTTCTATTGTATACTTTGATCTGCACAATTCTCATTAACGCAAATTTTCAGAAAACCAAAACAAGTATTTCTTATCATTGTTATTATTTGTTTTCGTCACTTAAGGGTGTTAAGCATATATTTTTCCAATGAAATTCTTAAGCGGTTCTAAACAAAAGCACCTAATATTTTGCAAAGAATTCTTCTCAAGTACTCAGAGATCCAATTGAAGCCACTTAAAAATTTCTTTCGTATATTTGTGAGCATGTCTAACCTAATAGTGACAGACAGAGTAAAGTAATTACTAGTTTTACTATTCTTCTTTAATATGTGCAAAGATATATTAAAATGTACAGTTTTGGAACGCGACCCATATAGAAACAATCGGACGGAAATAAAGGGTTTGTATAAAATTACTATTATCAAAATGCCTTTCAGGGTATTTCGTCTTCGGCGTGCCAATGCTAGACAGACTTTCTTGTATTTTGTGCAGTTTATTAAATAATAAGCTGAATTCCTTTTATTGATGTTGTGGAACCATTTACCACACACCTGCATTTTTATCGGCCGCAACCACATTATGACCCGGATCTTAAAGATTTCAGCCGATTATATTTTCCTTTTTACACATTTCAATAATAGAATCAAATTATCAAACTACAATAGATTGAAGAGCCCGATAGTACTGCGCATAAGGCAACGGAGCTGCTAAAATATGAGAAGTCATCGTGGGGGCGTACCAACGACAATCGGTTGTGGGAGAGTGTATTCATCGATGCACGAGACGGCGAGCTCGAGGTCCATATCTTTGGCCCACAATCAAGGCGGTTGAGCATAGCAATGAATGAGCTACAATCATCAAATAACACCACCACGCTATCAACACCATTACGCCGATCCTCATTCTCCCGTTTTTACCTTGATACCCATCCTTGTGGCTCTTCTTTCCCATTGGTTGAGCCTATGTCTGCTTACCTTTATTACGCTGTATCAAAATAATACATTTAGCAGATACAGCCATGTTGTCTTTCATGACCTACAAAGTGAGATAGAAAGAGATAGAGAGAGATAGAAGAGAGAGAGAAAGAGAGAGAGAAAGATAAAGAGAAAGAGAGAGAAAGAGAGAATAAGAGAGAGATAGAGAAAAATGGAGGGAGACAGAGCTAAGGATACACAATAAAAGTAACAGTAAATGGAATTAGCTGCTGTTGAAGCAGTGTTGCCAATTAAGCTATTTATTTGGCCAGATACATTAAGCTATTTTCATAAGTCAGTCGAAATATAAGTCGAAATACTTTTATTAAACAGATTTATTTTTTCGTTATGCTATTTCGAAAATATTTCGTTTTTCAAACACAGTAAAAATTGCCTACTATTAACAAAAAAATAAATTAATTAAAAGAATACGTAGCCGATAAAAGCAAACAAGGTATAAGTTTTTGATGGATTGTAATGTTACTTCTCCAGTTTCTTTAAATGAAACTGCGCAAAAGGAGGCAGCTCTTTGCATTTTTCGTCCCAAGTTTGTGAATTTTATCCTTTCCGGGCCATCTTGCCAACAGCATCTTTAGCTATTTTTATACTCTAAACCTATTAAAAATGGGTAAGACGTGTATAACGGTTTTATGCAAACTAATGTAACAGATAGAAGGAACGCGTCGATCAGAGAACCTGCGAGCTTATTTCCAATAACCAATAACCGGACGCGCCTCCAATCAATCGATAAGGATCTATATCGAAAACCTGTTATTTGAGCAAATATTTAGGTTTTAAGAGCTAGATTCACCATATTTTTCGTGTAGCTTCTATACAGATTAACTATTTTTTCATGGTATCCCCTGCTCAGACACTCCTGACTACTTTGAGTAGCTAGGTGTACCTTCTGGAGAACCCGAAGAGGGGACCTGGATGTGTATACCCGCATTCAATGTAAAAACAGGGATTAAAAGCGCACTAGACATGAAGTCATGTGCGCAATGAGAAACCATCAGCGCTGCTTGACATGAACTGTGAGTGAGGGATGGCCACGGGCTGGCCACGGGCTGGCCATGGGGACGACAAGAATGAATTGGCTCTAGAGCTTGAATGGGGTCTTCATTAATATCTAGCTTAGCGGGCTTCTGTGGCTTCAATTCCCCGTGGTCTGTGTTATTTTCAATAAACGGATTAAGTTGTACCAGTTGCTAGTCAACCTAAATACACAATTACAATAAGGTAACTACATAATAAAAGAATGATATCTACTCCTTTGAAAAACAAACAAACATCGAATTGGCCGAAATAAGATATGCTACCAGTTTACTTCTGGAGCAGACCATATAAAGTATATGGGCGATATCATCCATATTTCTCGATGCAATTCCTTTCCCAATTCCCCCGGACATAGCTCGTGTTCTATTTATTTCATTAGAGTTGCCTTTCTTAGCGTCGCGTTGATCCCCCTCATTGTTGGAGTTATCCTTGCATGGCTGCTGTCGTCGCAGTTGCTGTTGCTCTTGAAATAACACATTTTGTGGTTGTTTCCTGTTGTGTGCGTGCGCCCTGGGATTAGCCGTCCCGCTCCAGACCTAGTCGAAGTCCCAGACCCAGCCCTCGTGCTGCTTGTTATGTTTAAATACCGTTTAACAATTTCCCGTCGGCGAGTTTTGTAAATTTTTGTGTTGTTGTTGGCTCAAAGCAAATGAGCAAGAAAAGGCTACATAAACTAACTACCCTTATTCGCCCACTTGTCTTATAGTATATTTGTATATATACATATGTACATTCAACTTAAGCTTGTTATGAAAAGGAATTCCCTAGAGTTAGTGATTTTCAAACAATTTGCGCGCATTACGGCTACTTGCAACATTAACTTTGTATTTGTGTGCGAAAATATATGTATATAAATGACATTATTGCATAAGTATATTCAAAATCAGAAACCAAAAAATAACAGAAATATAGAGTGTTAAAGGATATATAGTACGTAAGAAATACCAGTGTAGACATTGAGCAAGAACTGAAACAAATATCCATGCAACCGGCCGAGGGGCCCAATTGTAATGCAAACCAAGACAATCTACTTGCTAAATAGGCTTGAATAGGAAATGAATGCTTCGATTAGATTACCCTGTAATGCTCATTGTAATCAGCACAGAAGACTCGGAACGATCCACAGCATAGTTTGTTGGACAAAATAATTTGGCTATATAATCCAGTGAATTCGATTTCGCCCGTGATTAGTTTAGTACACAAAGCGTAATACTACAATTAATTAAAGAGGCTTCTCGTCAGAAGTCTACTAGAGTATACACAATGATTCCAGATTAAGCTTAAGATTAGTTGTTTTTGTACAGATTCAATTCTATATTGATTAATCAAATGTATCATTCACGTTTTTAGTAAAAGTTATAAAAACCTCTTAATAAGTCTGCAAATTTTACTACACCCTCTTTCATTCTCTAATATTTGACTTTTAGTGAACTCCCGGTATCCCAGCAGCAAATACGATACCAATGAATATTTCAAATTAGATTCAAAATAAAAGGCTTGAGTTATTACCCATTTTCTGTTTGAATATGAAGCCGTTAATTGAATATAAATGTAATATTATAGGGTGCCCGGCATGATGAGGGGAAGTCAAAGCCAAGTGATGTGTTTGCCTTAGAGTGCGAAAAATTTAGAAAACTGGGGGTAATGGAGGAGTTGATGCATTGTTAGCAACTACCACCAGCTAGTCGTCCACCCTCCTTAGGCGAGAATAACCAGCTCAATCAGATAATTTGCAGGTATCTGGTTACATATGATGCTGCTTCTGCTGCAGCCGGCCTCAACATCTGTCGCCGTAACTTCGAATTGATGTACACTTAACTCAATTGATGATTAAATTTACCAACAATAAAAACGCGTTTATTGTGGCAATGATACGAATTAAGTTTTTCTCCAGTCCCAGCCGGGGCGATTGCTGACCATTTTGAACGGGCTTTTAGAATAGAACTAAAATATAAAAGGCTAACAATTCTCACCCACCATCCAACTACGTACTTAAATTAACTAACTACAAAATTTATTAACAGTTGTCGATGATCCCAGTTGCCACGCATCACTAAAATATGTTTTTGGTGCGATCTTTAAAGCGAAGACCCCCCATATCTCGGTCAAATATCATCTGCTTTTCACGAGGTTGAGGTCGTTGTTCATGGCTTGGCCTCTAGATCAATTTGGCATCTAAATATCTACATAAAAAATTACTCAATACGTGTTTCGGCGATTTGGCAAATACTAGCAACTGTGGTAAATTGGTTTTAAAACTCATTTTAAAATATCTTTTTGAGAATTTTTGTTATACCCGTTAGTTGTAATATAATATTAGTTTTGAAAGAGAAGAACGTTTTAGACATTTGTTACATACAACCTTTCTGATTTGCAGCGGATTGAGGTATTCAAAAAGTTAAAAATTCTTGATAACGCGTACGCTATACGCGAGCCTGCATACCAAATTTGGAATCTTTTATAAACCTAAAAAAAAACAAACTACACTTAGACATCGATTCTTATCAATTTAATGAAAAGAGGTTAGATTTCGATCATTTGAATCACCCGTTCTATATTTCAAACCCTGAGCTATAACAATCTCTAAGATTAATGCGTTATTAAATACGTACATTTCCAATATATATGTACAAACATTTTACTGGGAAGAATAAGCCAATTAGCTAAAGTCATTATATTCTTTTTACCTATTTTCATAAGGCTCAGGCTTAAAGTGTCTAAATCAATTCAAGAATGCAACAACACGCTAGTCAAAAAAAAAAAAAAAAACAAAAATTGCAATAGCAAGTACGTTCCGTTCTGCCCACTCTGTGTTCGTGTCTACGTCTGCATTATATTGCTCTCCCTTCTGATGGTTTTCTCAACTTTAACATGAGGTATGTCACTTCACAACATAGTTGTCTACTTCGTTCAATGTTACCATATAATATTTAGACGCTCATTAACTATCGACTATAAATATTCTGATATCTTTGATATTTTTTAACTTTGAGCCCATATGTGATTTTATTCGTAAGGCTCATAATAGATTAATTAGATTAATTTATAAAATTATTTTATTTTAAGCCACTTAATTGGATACACATATTATATATGAGGTAGTCCAAACTTAGTAACATTTTACCCAAATGTAATGATTTTAAATGGATAAAATTTGTTACACATAATAAAAGAGTAATACATAATACGAAAAGACGATGAAGAGACTTTTTCTAATATTAAAAGAATACGAAAGCAGACCAACCAATTCAACATTTGCATTTACATATAATTACATTTTACGTATTAACACAATTGTTATGATTTGAAGTTTAAATTTTTATGTTTGTTTTAAGTAGAGTATATGTTCGTATATACAGATATTGTATGTACTATTTCGAGTCGTATTTTAGGGTCATGCTGAGTTAAATTATTTGACACTCGAGTGGAAGAGGACAAAAGTTGTTAATTTTGTTTATTGGATTGCGCAATGTATACAGTTTGGGTGTACTAATGCAGTCGAAAAATACCATATAATAACAGTAACAAAGGCGCGAACATGTCGCCAGCGCCGAGACAAAGCGACGACCATTGTTCGTTTTTATCCCCATCTCCTTGCAGCTTGACTGTGTTTACCTACCCAATGTAAAATTCCGCAATCATTCGGCTGGAAATATGGACTTGGTTTTGAATTTGCAATTGTTATTGCTTACAGGATCCATTTTTACAGGGACTATTTATTTTGTATAGTATTGTATACAATATAAATGCATATGTGTATAATTTCGTACGAATAAACAACGAGTATATCAACTAAGTTTTTCTAAACACTTGGAAATATATTTGCCAAACACAAGTTTTCTTGTGTAAATTTCCTACTGGGTTGCCGCGACGTGCATCTCTTTCGCACAGAACACTGTACTGCTCGATGCCAAATACAAATACATACAATGTGATTTCTGCACATGTATACACGCGAACGCATACATACACAACACATACATACACAACACAAAAATTTGGGCGCCAAGCGCAAACGCAAACAAGAAACTCGGGAGGACCAACCCAAGTCGCTGCCTTCGCTAAGGAGTAAACAGCAAGCGCGGACCACGACAGCGCGCCTGGCACGCAACGGAACGGAGTTATCTCGCCAACGGCAGAAATAATACATACATACATATATTCATATACGCACGCATATATGTATACTTATGTATAAATACTTAAATATAGAATACATATGTGAGTCCAATAGTTTTTGCGGAAGCCAATTAAATTGATTTTTTTATTTAAATAAATAACAACAAAAGCTGTTAGCACAGAAAAATTGCTGGGTTTCGAAGCCTGATTTTCTACGTCGATTTATCTAAATTTTGTTTTGATATTGGATCGTCACATTCTTTCCGATTTCAATTGAGAAACTTATAATTTTAAATTCAAAGTGTTTCCATTTCTCTAGGATCAGACAAGCCAGTTTTTTAAGATTTGGGAGTGCCTTAAGTCGCGAGCATCCGACTAGGGGTTACCCCCAACCTGATCAAGAATATATGATATATTGGTCAGATCCAGCTGGTTCCGACATATACATAGACTGCGTGCAACAGAAAGAAGGACGTCTCCAAAGCTTCATGACGATAGCATAAAAACTGAGAAACTACTGTGCTTAATCAACTCGGCTGTTGATAGTGATCAAGAATATATATGTATACTCTTTGGTCGACTAAATTATAATACCCTCTGCAAGGCTATAAAAACGATTGTATAAAAGATTTTCACTTACCTTACGATCGGCTTCAAAACTATGTTTAATATTCCTTGTGAAAATTCATAGAGCAATAAACAGATATATTTATTACTCACTGACTAGTAGCTAAGCTTGCAAAGGTTCAGAACCTACTTGTATTCCTGAGAATCGATGAGGAGAGCATTAGGCAGAAGTTCATTTTCTTTAAATTTGCAGCACAGCGACAAATAAGCTTGATCTACGTTTGGTATTAGAAATCAAACATGCAAGCATACAAACACCCACACATACATACATACACACACACGCACAACCACGCATGAGCAAAAGTATATTACACAAAACAAATATGCTCTTTTCATACGCATTTATTTATAACAGATTTATTACCACATCCAGTTGTGACCTGTTTTTCAATTCAAATTCAATTTCAATCCTATATCTAACAACTTTTGTCGTTCCTTTAATTGTTAACAGCTGTTCTCAAGGTTATGGTCCATCGACATAGTCGCGACCTCCAACATTGATACGACCCTCAGCGGCGGTTACCGAGAAGCCAAGAATACGTGCATCCATTTTAGTCATCTTATTTTTCTTGATTTTCTTCTGCTTATTCTTTAATAATATATTTTTAAAAGCATAATCAATAACCTGATATGTATGGAAAATGGTTAAAAATAAACGAATTACCTTATTATCTCCATTATCATTACACGATGGTGTTATAGCTGGCGCCGGCTTACACATATCATCATTGTGCGCATTTTGCGCACGCTGCAGGCTTTTGTATTTACTACGTCGCTCCAAAAATTGCTTGGCAAAATCCGTCGACTCTTTACCCTCGCCTGGAAATATTTGAAATTTCGAAATTTGAGACGGGATCTAAGCGATAAAATATATCTTTAGGTAACATACCAAGGTATATGCGTACATAATCCTTCACTTCGTAGGGAGCTTCCAGGTCCTGCAGAAAGGCCACAAACGTTGGTACTGCATTGTGAATATTTTGACAAATTATTAAAATATATGATAATCTATTTAATTTGTCTGTGTCTCCTTACCATCCACCTTGGCCGACATGTTGTCCAGGCTCTTCATGCACCATGTGGTAAACTCATTCTCATACTCGTTGACTTTGCTGCTTGAGGCGTCGCTGCTGCTGCTCTGTGCCTGAGCCTTGGCGTTGGACTTTTTGTCCTCGCTACCCGAGACCTTAGTAGTCGCCTTAGTTAGGGCCACTTTATTGTTTTTCTCCTGCTGCTGTTGCTGTGAGCTCTGACCACTGGCAGCTCTGGCAGTTTTTGATAATACATTTTGCATAGTCGGCAATGTTTGGCTCTTACGCAAGTTGCGCGGCGACGGCAATATGCCGACTGACTTGGCCTGCGTGTGAGATTGCTGCTTGCTGGTCGCCGACAAGCCGGCGGCGAGCACAGAAGCGGCAGTTGTAGCGCCCAGGGGTACATATTTGGGAGGAGCCGGTGCGGGCGTTTGATCATCCCACAACCCGGGGTTGGGTGCAGTTTGGTTAGCGTTGCTAACAGGTCCGCTCCACGCCTTATTGGTATTGCCCCAGATGTTGGATAGGCCACCCGACACAGACAGATTGGTGGCAAGCGCAACTTGCTGATGCTGCTCATGCTCCCGCCGGCGCTGCTGCTCCAGCAGCTCATTAGCCAAGCGCTTAGCCTCCTCGGCCTGTATGTCGACCAAATTCATAACGGGCGCTGGAGCCGATGACGACTGCCATTTGAGGAGCGCATCATTTGCCTCGGCTGCTGCCGCTGCCGTAGCCCGCATTTGCTTATCCAGCTGCTCTTGTTGCCGCTGCTGATCGGCACGCCGTTCGCGCCGCTCGGCTTTCTGGATCTCGGCCAGTCCTGGAGCAGCGCTATTTGCGGTTGGCGCTTGTAAGGACCATGGGGCAATAGAAGTACCATGAGAACGATTTGCCTGCTGCTCTATCTTACCGCCGCTTGCCTTATTGCCTGTCCCAGCTGCAGTTAAAGCTGTCAAAAACAAGAACATGAAAACCAGTTGCTAATACTCGACCGATATATTGAAGTTCGCAACAAAAGAAATCTACCTTACCTTACAATTAATTACGACTTTTTTAATAAGGAATTATTATTATTCTTACCCGATGCACTAGTCGCGGCTTGCGCATTGCCAAGCAAAGCCTTGCGGCGTTGAGCTTGTATTTGCTGCTGGCGCTCCTTTTCCTCTTGTTGCTGCCGATTCTTTTCCTCTTCAGCTAGCATCGCGCGTCTTTTCTCCTCCTCTTGTTGCTGGCGCTTGCGCTCCTCCTTTATACGCCTCTTTTCCTCCGTCTGCTCCCTGCGGCGCTCCTCATCGCTAAGTTTCAGTTCCAACTGCTTTCCCTGCTGCTGTTGCTGTTGTTGCTTCTGACTTGGCGGCAGAGGTTGCACCTGCTGCTGCTGCTGAGGCTGAGGCTGTTTGTTGACGTCTTGCTTACCAATTGCTAGACCTATTTGTTGATCCTTGCGATGTGGGGCGATGTCCGCAGTTGAGGGCTGCTGGTCTTGAGTCGGCGCCTGCTGTTCGACTTGCATTAGATTAGATGCCCCTTCCCCCTCAGGCTTGCACTGGTTTTCATGGCCCTGCTTTAGTGCTGCATCGTAATCTAAATTGATCGCGCTGTTCGTGTTGCTGCTGTCTGGTCTTGAAAGATGTTTTTGCTGCTGTTGTTGCTGCAGCAACAACTGCTGGCTCTGCTCCTCCTCCAATGTAGCAACGTCCCACAAGGTGACTTTAGCGTTGGGGATGGCGGGCCACGGCTGGATTGGCTGCTGTTGTTGTGTCACGTTTTGAGGCCACATCGGCATTATAAGGTTTTGGGCAGCTAATAGTTGCGACTCGGTCATGAAGTCCACAGCCGAACTTGGCTTAATAAGAGCAGCTGGCTGTTGCTGCTGCTGCTGTTGATTGGTGGCAGCTGCCGACGTCCCGCGTAGCAACATTCGCAAGTTGTATTCGTTTAGTAAATCCAGATCGTTGCCATGCAGTTCACTTATTTTGTTTGTGTCCAGGTCAGACACAAATTGATGCTGCATTTGCTCTGGATGAACCGGCTGTGGGTTTTGTTGCCCCTGGGTTTGCTGATGCATTAATTGGGCATTTATTATAAAATCATTGGCATCCAAAAAGTTGCCATCCGGGCGCTGATCACCGCTGCCAGGAAACAGATGTTGCTGCTGTTGATCCTTCTTTGCTTGCTGTGCAATTGCATCATACAATTGACTTCCGGCTATCGGATTTAAAGCAGCCAGGGAGTTGCTTAAGCCACTGAAACTGCTCAAATACTCCGGCAAAACTAACATCTGCACCTTGCTACGCACAACGGCTTCGCGTTGGGCAGCATCCATGCGCTGAAAGCAATCGCTTTTGGAAAGCTCTGAAAGTATCTGATACTCTTGGTGTTGCAAATACTGATCTTGTAGCATTTGAAAGCGCATGGTGAGCATGTGGGATGTGTCCACACTATGTGCACTCATATGACCCTTTACAGCAGCACTCAGCGAATCCGCAGCCGCCGTTACATTCGCTTTTAATTGCTCGTCGATGCTAACGCCAGGATGTTGATGAAGATGATGCTGCTGTTCATTTAATGAAAGCGGTAAAGTAAGTGCCGAGGGCTTACGCGGGGTCAGAGTAATTTGTAGATTATCCAAATCGATGGGCGTAGGAAGGAGATGGTTGTGTGTAAACGGCATGTTGCCATGACAGAGCTTTATGAGCTCGCCTAGCGGTCTGAAGCGACTGTCGGAATATCGGCGCACAAAAAGATTCTCATTAAAGTAACCGGCCCGATACCATTCAGTCATCTCCATGGCACTAAACGGTCCCTGGACATTCGACTGTGGATCCCGGTAAAACCACAGGTCGTTCGGGTTAGCACTCATCACATGGGGCGGCAGCACAGATAAATGCTGCTGATGTTGCTGTAAATGATGCTGCTGCTGCTGCTGATGATGCTGATGATGATGATGATGATGATGATGCTGCTGCTGCTGCTGCATTGCCAATTGATCAGTGAAGGGCAGCGGCTTATGCGACAATTCACCACCGAGTATTCCACTCGCTGCCGCCTCCGGGAGTTGGCCAACGAGTTGGTTCTGCAACTGGCCTGGATCCACCACAGCGCTCGGCAGGCCGGGTATGCCGTATCTGCTGTTGCCATTACCGCCAGCAATACTTGTTGAGCTGGTCAAATCTCTGTTAATTGCATCCACTTGGGTATCAGAAGCATCGCCAACATCATCATCCATTATCAGTTTCTCAACTTCATCGGCCACCTCTTTGAAGCGTTTTGAAATGTCGCTATGGCCAGCTTTCTCAGCTTTGTGCGTGGGCGTTGATTCAGCTGTTTCTGACTTTACATCAATTTCTTGCGCTTTCAAATTATTGTTGCTGTTAGTGATAATTATAGTTTCGGTACTGTTTGTGTCGGTAAGAGTGCTGTTTGTAATGGTCTCTAAGCTTGTGGGCTTTGTTATTGACTTCGATTTGATATTCGCAGCATTTGGCTGTTCAGTTTGGACAGTTTTTATCGAGTTGGTATTTGGCAATGCAACTTTTTCTTTTATTGCTGAAAAGCTACTTAAACCGGTTGCATCCTCCTGCTTTTGTGGAGTTCGATTATTATTTTTTAGTTGCTCACAATCCGTTGCGACTTCCCCATGAAAAGCGCCACTTGAATCAAAAGTGCCGCCCACTTCGGATGGGTTCTCCATAGCCCATTCCGGCAAATTATCCTCGCCGTCAGCACCGCTGGCACCGCTGTTTCCAGGCCACGATTGATTCGATTTTGAGCTCATCTGCCGATTTGAGTTCCCACCAACTGATGACCCTTGCTGCGATTTAACGCTCGACCGCTCAGTGGCTATAGTTCCTATTAATGAAATCGACCTTTGTATATTGCCGGCTGTATTGACCCCGAAATTAGTGCCATCAATGCTCCCACCCTGTAAAGGCTCCTCGTCGCGCCAGCTGGTCGACCGCCCTAAAATGGCGACTCAGTTACAAACGCTTCGAAAGCAGACATAGTGCAATAAGCTTACCCCATCGATGGGTGCCGCCGCTGCGCCAACCTGCCGCTTCCGCGCCAACTGAACTACCTGTACTGGGGCCGTCTCCGGAGCCATCTTCGTTGCGGTTTCTGCGCCAGTTCTCCATATTGCGATTGTGGTTTGAAAAATCCTTTCGCGGGCTAGAACTCGGTGTACCGTTCCAGTCCAACCCGCCGCTGCCGCTGCCAGGAGGTGCACCAACAGCTGCAGAGTCTCCGGTGCCATTCCGCTCGCTCCAATTTCGGTCCGGCTGCAGGTTGAAGGCGGATCGATAAATTAACAAGGCCAATGGATACACGAAACTCGTTGGGAACAGGATCTCTTACCTTCATCGATATAGCCGAAAGACTGTCATCATATATGGCGCTTGGTCTTTGGTATATTGAATGATAAACCGATTTACCACGCATTCGGCCACGATCAACGGTTCCACCCCGGCCGGAACCGCGCGATGGTATGCCAAACCCACCCGGCGAGCGCTGCAACCAGGCTGGACGCGACTGTAAAAAGTGTGTGTGTAAAATGTATTCATTTATTCGTTAATGGAGCAATGCTACACTAACTGAACATATATACTCACGTTGCTGCCAAGCGGACTTTGGCTGTTTATCTCCTCCTCTGAGCTCGGGGTTAGAGCAAGAGGGTACTGGACTTTTTCAACAAACAGCTTTTTGAACGAGGGCAGAATCTGGGGCAGCATGCAATTCCGATCAAATAATGATAACATCTCCTCGCGCCCGTAACGGTACTCCGGAAACATATTACGAGAGGCAGCTGTATGGCCTTGACCGGCCAGCATATTGACTCCTCCGCCACCGCTGCCGCCACCAACGAGGCTGTGTATGGACAGAGCACTGTTTAACCCGCCAGCAGCAGCAGCAGGGCCAGACACATTATTACTGCCAACGGTTGAGGGCTCCGCAGACATATTGCGCAACCATTCTGGTCCGAATTTCATTGAGTCAGTCATTTTGGGTAACTCTTGAGTTTATTTCTTAATTGTCTTTCGCTGAAATTGTGCAATAAATAACAATTTTACCATCAGCATTAGCCAGCACACACACGCACGCTATCGGTTTGACAAGTTCGATTGCGATTTTGAATCTATGTATACTAAATCGAAATTCGAAAAAAAAATTTTAACTTCCTCTGCTATATATATATATATATATATATATATATATATATATATATATATATATGCAACACTGTCTGTATATGTGATTGTATGCGTAATGCAAAAATTCGAACAATAACAATAGCAGCGGAACAAGAACAAGGTAACATAACCTACAAAAAGCGGGCTGATAATGCACATAGTTTATATTAAAAACAGCATCTTTTTTAACTATTCAATATTGCAATACCTGCCTAAAATTAATATGTTTATAATTTTTCTCTTTTACCAGAATTATCTATTAACCAATACACGGTGTTATATTCAATAACTGGTGTTTCACTGGGTAAATGTGTGTACATATGTACATATGGATTTAACTATGAATACTGACCAAATATAGTACTTTATTGCGTTTTATGTCATTTTTTATATCTTTACATAGTACTAACAAGTTGGCAGCCCATTCCAAGACTACTAATAGTAGCACCGTGGCACTACATGCACAGATACAAATGTATATACACACCCTAGCACATTAAAAAGTACTTATCCCAAATGCCTACTTATCAGTTTAGCTTCTTAGCCTTAGGTCAAACAGTACGCAAATTAATTTTACAAACTCAAATACTATTAAAAACTAAAAATTCGGCTATTATTTGTTGTACTTTTCAGAATTTTAGGAGACTTAATAGGTGTGTTGGCACTCACATATAGTGTATGTACGCAAGTATGTCGTATGTAAGCCAGAGATGAGCGTTACCCAAATAAGCGTTACTTGAGAAGAGTATCACAAAGCAAAATATTATCGAAATTACAGGGTTACGTAATAAAAGTTCTTAAATTATCGATAGACGAAGCACGATGCCATCTACTTTATGTGCGTCAAATTAGCGGCAGTGAGTTAGCGTCGAATTTTTGTACTTGGTATCGGAAAAGGAATCGGTCACTTTTAAATGCATTTATTTATGTTTTTAAGCACGAAACCAAATGAATTTAAATGCAGAATTGCAAAAAATGAAATTGTTTACCATCTACATTGATTTATTTTTTAATTTTACTTTATAATATGGGTAAACCAAGGGGTTACAATATTAGGTTTTCACCATTCCATAAATATCTAAATTTAGGGATGATGGACCCGAAAACCGCATTTGCACAATTAAAGCCTATAGTTTCAGCTAGCCAACTGTGAAAATTTGATTAAAATCGTCGGTACCATTTTTAAGATATTTGGAAAAGAGTGCAACAACCCCCAAGTCAGCCCCATATAAAATGCCCGCAAAAAATCAACCTTGTTTTCGAGCCCTTATTTCTTAGCTCAGAGACAATGGCCCTCAATGCACGGTGTACCCTCTTGTAGATACATATTTTAAGAAGCTTTAGGCACTAATTTTAAGTAAATGGACGGAACAGATTTTGAGAAAATTATTTAATTGTAAACCAACCTCATATAGTTCATTCAAAAAGTCTATCGAACTGCTAGTTCCTACGTGAACTAAATCACTGCCTGGCATCAGTGTTGAACAATTTTGTACCACTAACATATATGTTGTTTGGTTAGTGTTTGTACAGAACTGAGCGGGAACCAATTCAATTGGAATTATATGTAATCATGAAAAAATGGACAGGACTCACAGTTAATTAAATTATTAAGTCAAAGCAAATTATATGAGAAATATTAAATGACAGCCATATTTTGAACTTTATTATTTAATTTTCAATAACCAACCTAAGGTTTACAATTAATTAATTTTCTCAAAATCTGTGAGTGCCCAAAGCTTCTTAAAATATGTATCTACAAGAGGGTATAGCGTGCATTGAGGGCCATTGCTTCTGAGTTAAGAAATAAGGGCTCGAAAACAAGGTTGATTTTTTGCGGTCATTTTATATGGGGCTGACATGGGGGCTGTTGCACTCTTTTCCAAATATCTTAAAAATGGTACCGACGATTAAGACAGTTGGGTATGTGAAACTGTAGGCTTTAATCGTGTATCTGCAGTTTTCGAGGCCATTATCCCTAAATTTATATATTTATGGAATGGTGGGAGCCTAATATATCACCTAATAAATTCAAAAACAAATGAATGTAGGCAGTAACTAATTTAATTTTTTACAATTCTGCATTTAAAAATATTGGGTTTCGTGCTTAAAAACATAAATAAATGCATTTAAAAGTGGCCGATACTTTTCCGATACCAAGTACCAAAAATCGACGCTAACTCACCGCCGCTAATTTGACGCACATTTTATTGTACACCTCATCGCATGGTTGTCAATCGATTTCGAAAATATGATTGGTATTTTGTATGGCTTAATATTGTTGGCCGCGGGCGGGGCTTTTACGGAACAATGAAACATAAACACAAGAAACAATTTATTAAGGCACGGCAAAGCCAAGTCCAACACAACATATATAAATTATGCGATTCTTTAAAAAATAAAAGTACAGGAATGTCGGAAGCGTGATTTCAATGTCCATGTTCATAGGTTTTGATTCAAATCTTTTCCAATTTAAATTTAACAAGAAGAATAAAATTTCGATTTAGATAGCTAAATCTTAGGGTAGGGATAAAAATGAATGGTTAACATATCTATGAGGCTTTAGTTAAAATTTCAATGTAGTTTAATATGATGTGATGGTATCGATATATCACATCTGTTATATCGCAGCGATGAATCGATTAGCATTTGCACATCTCCAAATCAAAAAATGGCGAATTGTGTTGAAAATTATTAAAAAATAATTTGATTGGTACGATTCCTATAAATATAAAAGCGCAACAGGTGTGTTTGATAAAAACGCAAGTTTAATGATTTAAATAAAATTTCAAATAAGGTAAACATATTCGACATATTGTGTGGACGCGTGTACACGAGTGTATTCGTGTGTGTGTGTGTGTGCGTTGTGGTCCGTGGACACTAGAACTTTTTATTAATATTTTCGATCAGTGTGTCTTAATTCAAACAGACAACAAAGGGCCAAAAATTAACGAATATGTCAATATATTTTCAATAAATGAGAACCTTTTATAAATAGATAAACGCCATATGCAAACATTTAACTAAAATCTGTATGTTTTCACAAATCTTACGTAGATACATATGTATGTAAAAATATACATACACATGCACGCATAGTATGTGTATGAATGTATATAATACAAAAATATATATGTACATAAATACCCATACATAATTATGTATTTAGCGTTAGGGCATAATTAAATCAAATTCTAAATGTTATTTACACATATGTATTATTAAATAAAAATGGATTTACGATTATGTATGAATGTGTGTGTATTTAATAAAACAATGTTTCAGTTTATACAAAAGGGCTCACATTTAAATGTACATACACACATAAAGACTCCTTAATAAAAATAAATAATTCATTTTGATTATTCACAGCACATGTAAGTTAGAACTGTGCGCGTGCGTTATTGGGCGAGACATCTAAGTTCTATTTGCCACTCCCTGGATCAGGCAGACTTGGTTATCTGGCATCTGGCATAAATGAACCAAAACCAAATCCAGCAACTGACCTCACACCTATCGCAGGCTCTTGATCAAAACTATGATGTAAGTTTTTAATATATATGAGGACATTATATCAAGTGTTATATATACATGGTGGAACTGTAGCGATTTGATACTACGAAATTTATTTAATTATCATTGAAGGTCGTTAATATGGAGGCGGTTCTCTCTGTTATTTGTGCACTGGAAGGTACAACGATCACAAAAGAGCAATTGGAGGCCACCAGATTGGCAAAATACATAAACCAACTTCGACGAAGAACTAAAAATGATCAGTTAGCTCGGCGGGCAAAATCACTTTTAAAGAAATGGCGAGAAATGGTTGGAATTCATCAGCAGACTACAATCGAGCCTCAGCCGCAGCCATTGGCTCATTTGTCATTTAAGCCGATTGTTGGTACACATTTTCCAGAAACAGAATCGAACACAGTTGAAGTTATGGTAAATTCAACTCAGTACACTTCGCAATCCTCGCCGCCGTCTTCACAGCGAGTTAACACTGATTTACACCCAAACGTCGATTCCTCTGAGCCACATCATATTAACTTCTCAAGTTTGATAAATAATAATATTAATACTGACAATCGTGACGACTCTTTAGCAATAATAAGCAAGTCGATAAAACATCCGAGAACTATTGAATCTAAATCCCAAAAATCAGCAACATTTATAAATGAGCACTCCTCCAATTCTGTATCAAGTGTGATGGTGGCCAATGAAAAATTAAATGAGACTTCTATTGTGATTGACATTGTCTCTGATTCCGATGAAAATGATTCGCAAAGTCAACCAGTCAACAATCACCAAAAACTCGCAACAGTTTCGTCTTCGTTAGCCCTGCCCGCAGTCTATCCCAGGCCTAAAAAAATAAAAAAGGATAAAAAGCGTAAGGAAAAGGATGGTCGGGATAAGCCGTCGCAATTTTATTTCAATGATGGAGTTCCACAACAGCTCACAAATGCGAATAGATCTAATTTGAATCGGATTCCGGTAAAAGAAGGGAGAATGTCAAAAACAAATCCAACGGATCCAGGTAAATATAATGCTTCAATAATCCTTCCAGTAAATAACGTGATATATTCTTTTGAATTTGTAGAAATTTTATCATTGTCGAATAGCTCGATGAGCTCAATCTTATCTGGAGATGCATTTTCTGGGAGCTCCCAAAATCGACCTCGCACCACTGCAGCAGAATTGACATTTGCAGGCAGGTTTAATTCTGTCAGTCGACCGGACACCTCAAATTATGTTAACGCTGTGCAAGCAAATGGTCAGAAAAAGATTTGCCAAGTTAACGATCCACCAAGCCTAGACCTGACGATACCACAAATGTATGATGATTTTATTAATAACGACTCAAGTACCTCTTGCAGTCGATTATCGCCGTATGAGGAGCTAGAGGCAAAGCCGGGTCAAAATAATTCAAAGGCATCTACCGAAGCAAGTAAGCAACAATTTTTAACATCTTTCAAGTCAAATGATAGTAACAAGTTGGAATGCCATGAAAACATTCTCTCTCAAGCCCCTAAAAAGCGCGGCCGGAAGAAGGGCTCCAAAGGTGTCGATTCACTTATTGCCAAGGAGTCAAGTCTTTCCCAGCAAATTTTGTTTGGTTCTGGTGTTAAAAAAGTAAAAACCACAAAAGAACTCTTCAATGATATGCAAAGTAGAAAGCTAAGTATTTCATTCAATCGCGGCGATTCATTACCAGCAGTTGCGAATAAGATTACAAATACAACCACACTTCGGAATCTGGAATCCCGATCTTTAATAGCCAGACCAACATCATCTTGTTCAGGTTTGTTATTTGTCAATGTTACATATATTATAAATATGTTTAAACCCACTCATACTTTAGAAACATCAATCCACTCACCCCATACATTGGAAGCCTACTCAACAAATGTTTCTCAAGCAGGAACAGAGAAACTTTCAAATATACTAGAAGGTAAGAGTTAATGTTTTAAATTAAAAGATTCCTTGAAATTCCTGTAAAGCCTTACCTCTTTCTGATTTACGAAAAAATACCAAATCATATATTTATTGTAGTCTATGTTTGGAGAATGTTGTATGGAATGGGTTTTGAATGGAGTATTCTGTAGAACTGCACAACAGTTCCATGAAGTCTTCCGAGAATAAACTGTTGTTTTGGGCTTAGATTTAAAGAACTCTGTGTCACCTAAGGGCGTTGAAAATGCGAACTTCGATAAATAACACACTCTTAGCTCTTATTTCCTTCTGTTTTCTAGGTATACTAGGTATGCTAACCCTGGCCCGCACTCATTCAGTGCTTTGTAAAGTAATCATCGATCCAAAAATCGAAAAGACCCACAACATTTACACAAAATTTACCTTTAATACATTTTTAACGAAAAAAATGATTAATATTGACTATTTTGCAGAGCCTGGAAACACAGATAGTGATACGATTACATCGGAGCCTTCACGGGACAGCATGAAATCACGAAACATTAAGAGAATGAATTCTTTGGATAGCAACAGTAATTCCCTTCAGACTACATCGGTTTTAACATCGTCAAAAGATTATAACGATGTGACAACGCAGCTAATGCATATGGTTCACAATTTAAATAGCCCGCTAAGTGTTAACGAGACTGAAAAGCTATATCAGGCTCAAATTGTGCCATGCACTTGTATTGTTGTTGAAGATATACCAAAAGAGTCGTCCGCACATGATAACATTGATCACTCAGATATGGAAGCAGATTCGATAAACAAGGCTACATGTGATATTGAGACTGTCCGAGACAAAAAGCACAGTGAGCAACCATCGTTGAAAACTGATAATTGCGATGTTGAAGAAGCTCCGCTTTTGATTTCTCAAAAACCAATTAAGTCCATTTTTGATTTAGACTTTGATGACGAAGACGATCCATTGCAATCAATTATAAAAAATATTTCGTTACCAGAGTCAAATTTAAAACAGGACCCGGATGATTATATTAAATCGAGTTTCACTGTTAGGTCGCTTACTGAAGAAAATAAAGACTTAAAAGTTGTCAGTGACAGTTATCTAGATCAAGAAGCTAGCAATATAGTGTTAGAACCAATTTCTGTTTACACTGTATATGAAGACCCTGACTGCGTTGCAAAACAAAGGTTTGATGTGCAAACGAATGATGTTACCAATTTTCATATAAATGCATTACACAACTATTACATACCAAACATTAACGGCAATTGGAATAGCATTGATTCCTCTATTGTTTTAACGACAACAGTAATGAAATTTCTACAGTCATTGGAATCATACACAGTAACCGATGGCGCCGACGTTGTTCCAAAATATGGCTCGCTCACATATGAACGTATACGTAAGGATCTAAGCTATCTTAAATTTGATAGAAATTGGAAATCGAAAAGTTTTAAATCGTTTATACCACCGTTTTTGGGTGTTGCCAAATGTTTACCAACTTGTCGACTGGCAGCAAAACGGCTGAAGGATAAAACGAAAGCATTGTCCACAACTAAAAGTGTCGAGACGATAATCAAACTTGAGGAACCTGAAATAATTATTAATTATTTTGAAAAAAATAAAGGAAGCCCCAGTCCGCTAAGAGTTGAAGTCGATGCAAATGGCAATAGCGGTGAAAACCAAGCGCAAACACAATCTTCTGAAGATGACCCTTTAATGAATAATAATGCCACTCTTAGTTTTAATTTGCTTAAGTTGGTAAATAATAATGAAGGTCGCAAAAGTATCGTAGATGATCAAGTAAATAGTAAGCCAACAATCGATGGGTTGGATAATCGAAAAGGCATTCGCTGCAGTAGCGACAGCAGCTGTAGTAATTCCAGCTTACAATTAACACAAGATTCAATAAATGAAAAACTAAGAAATCAAAGGAATCTATCGCTTACCTCAGAGCAATCGCAATCGGAACGTAATGTCGAAAGAAATAGGAAAAAGCGCAGAAAAGCAAGGCATGCTGAAAGCAACGATGGCATAGACTTTGGTAATAATATAGAGATTGCTAATACATCAATAGACGAAAAACCACTTATTAAACGCATTAAAATTGCCATTAACGGAAATGTCGCCACTCAAAGACAGATATCAGGCATAAGTAGCAGCAACAATAGCAGCGATGACGAGCATGACGACGAGGTAGGCGGTGAAGCACGAAGCGAAGTGAGCGACCCAGAAGTTGGATACAATACTTCTGGTTACTCTCAGATAGGTCTAGCTGCAAGCGATGATGAACAAGAGTCAAACAGAAGCCATTCAACTACAATCGATAGCATAGCGGCGGACGACGATGGGCATTTGGAAAACGAATATGAAAATAGCAATGATGAAGAATATGCAATCGTGCAAAGGCCTATGGTTGGTGTGGCTAACAATCACATTGTGTTGACAATAAAAAAAACACCCAGTAAAATGAATTCTCCAGTTAATTCAATATCAGCAATCTCTCCGAATGTTGGTCAGGCAAGCGCTTCTGTTGCCGGTACCCTTGAAGCTCACACTTCTAAGAATGCCCACTTTGCAACAACCAATACCGATAGCAAAATTGAATATCCCGAAACGGAAATAATCGGCGAATATCAGCGAAAATTCTCTCTGGCACCGATGGTATTCTGTACCGATGAATTGCATAGATTAGACCCGGACAGACCGTTCCTGACGTCAAATACCTGCCAAAATAATTTGAAAACAAGTTACCAATATTGTCGTCGTCGTCGTCGTCTTCGATATCGGCGCCCTCGGGATTTAATATGCCCGAAGGAAACCATAGATATAGAACTAAAACATTTATTTAACAATGTTACCCGAAGTACCCAAATGTTGTTAAAACCACATCGAAAATTATTTTTCGCAAATGAATTATGTAGGCAGGACGGCGCGGGGCGAAAAGAACGAATTGTTAATTATAGCAGCAGCAGCAGCAGTAGTAGTGGCAGTTGCACATCAAATGATGAAGATGACAGCGATCCAGAAGAGAAAAGCAAGCGAGAGCGAAAGCGATACTCAGCGTTGTCTGAGGACACTGAAAAATGTCAAATTGCCGTTTCAAAAACACAAAAATTAAAGAATGAGACTGACCCGAATATTGCAGCTAAAAATATTAATGACCAAGAGGACCTGTACTTATATTCAGATAGTGATGAATCATTAAATACTGGTGAATTTGGGAATCAACATAATGAACTGAATGATCCAAAGCTAAACAAGCAGGATGAATTACCATTACATAACAATGGTATGTTGCCCTCGTTCAATTTCATTTATAATGATCAGCAGTTAAAAGCTTCGGCTAATGAGGTAAACGAGAAGGCCTTCGAAAAGCCATCGTTAAAACTACTTCAAATTCAGAATTGTGATGATGTCAATGTATGCTATAATAACATTAACATAAGTGTAATTAAATCACATAGTCTAGGTTCTGTTAAGCCCATCAATGATGATGACAATGGAAAACAATGTGTCATTAATAATTTAACTTCGGAATCGTTGGAAAAAGCTAAAAATTGTAATCCAATTTATACGGATGTCTCGTCTGAGTTAATGCTATCGCAACCGGCTATTGAGTATAGAACTGGCATTCGAGCTGTTGTCGACGACGCTCCCAGTAAATACGGCGTGAATACAACTCAAATCCAACAGTTCAAGGAATGGCACGAAGTTCTTCAGCTTCAATCCTATAATAATGAACCATTGATCGTTTTGCCATACGTTGTGCTTGAATGAATAATTTGAATATGACAATACGTGGGGATGTGCGTGTAATCATGTATAACCGAATAATTGAACCATTTATTATTTGGTAAGTCTGTAGCATCTGTAGCGTTTGGATCATAAAAGTAAACTGTGTGATAGGAGGTTTTCATACCAATATAATTAAAGAGCACCATAGATATGCTTGAGATGATTCGAAAGTAAAATAATTATAGGTATTTTCTGCTGGCCCTACCATTTAATATAAATATGTGAATCAACTTTGAAATCAATTAATTTAAGGCGAGTCACTATCATTCTGTACTTTTTTTGTTGACTCTATTAATAATAACCAATAATTTTGTTTATTGTCTTTAAACAAAAATTAATATATTTAAAACAAGAGTTTGCTACAGTTTTGCATAATTTAGTAAACATAAAATATATTTTGTTACATTCTAATGTTGATAATTTTTCGCATCTTAATATTTTTTTTTAATTTACATATGCCTATTATGTATATGTGATAGAAATGAAATGTACATGAAATGTAAATAAATTAGTTTTACGCTGATGTTTTTCTGGTTAAGTCAATACAATCGTTTCAGATTGTTTGGAAAAACAGTTTCCCTTACAATTTATCATGCATTCATCGTGGTATAGAATATTTGTTGTTAATGTAATTTATAATTTTTTTTATATATATGTACATAAACAACAAATTTGCTCTTTCACATCAGCATCTCTCTCTAGCGGCATCTATGAGTCAGTGCAAGTTAAGAAAATGTGGAAAAGAGAAAAACCCAAAGAGGTTAATTAACCAAGTTTTTCTTCTTTATTTTATACCCTGAACCCATTAAAAATGGGTATAAGGGTATATTGTATTTGTGCAAAATGCAAATGTTTGTAACATACAAAAGGAAGCATCTCCGACCCCATAAAGTATATATATTCTTGATCAGCACCAATAGCCGAGTCGATCTAGCCATGTCCGTCTGTCCGTATGTATGAATGCAAGGATCTCAGAACCTATAAGAGCTAAAGACTTGATTTTAGATGTATGTGGTCCTAGTGCCTGCGCAGATCGAGTTTGTTTTCGATAATCGATAACTTACTCCGTTTCCAAACAATCGATAAAAGTCGATATCGATATCCTGTTTTTGGGCAATTTTGAGAAATAATAAGAGGTAGAGTCACCAAACTTGACATATAGCTTCTAAAAAGAATATATGCATTTGATGTTGGAAGAAGAAGGTTCAGGGTATCCCCTAGTAGGGAGTTCCCGACTAGAACCTCCTACTTTTTTTTTTGTGTGTGGTTCCTTTATTGGCTGGGTTACAAAGATAATATGTATGTGCATATTGTGTGGTATCGTGTAAGGAACAAAATATTTATCTTAATTCGTTATCTTTTTTTCTCGCCATTTTGTTTTTTCGACTCCTTACATAATCGGAAACGCTTTTTGAGATGGATGCTATATACGTAAGTGGCATAATTATGTTTTTAATTATACCCTGAACCCATTAAAAATGTGTATAAGGGTATATTAAATTTGTGCAAAATCCAAATGTCTGTAACAGCACTAACCAAACAACATATAGACTGGACATCACATACAAACAACGTTGTCACAAAAAGATTTTGAATGAAATTTGTGTAAAAATAAAAATCATTAAAATATTAAAGTATACCATATACCAATATATAGTCCAAAAGTTGACCCATTCGGCCCAACGGGCTGCTGCAGGTAATAAGGGGTCAACATTCATTCATCAAAATCATAAAAAAGAAGGGCGCGCGTCAGACGCGTGGGAGTAAGTATTTTCTTTTGCGCCCATGATCAGCCCATTCAAAGACATTTGTATGTGGGTGTATATGTGTAGAGGTCCAAAATCCGAAATCCTAAAATCTTGTTAAATTTACATCGGGGACAGGCAGGCAGGCAAGTAACAGGGACACAAGAGCATAAATGCTTCTATTCTATACAAAATATGCAAGTATGCGTGAATAGCGAGTCCAAAATATTTTAAATGCACACGCTTGGGTACCCTTACCAACGATAGCGAGCTGATATGCAAGAATTTCGCATCGACGTGGCAAACCCTTTCTCTATTTCATATTAGCTGTGCCTTCAAAAGGGTAGAAATGCCTCAGCATTTGGGAAAAATTGAATTGAATTGAAAATTGAGAGTAAGTGCGAGCGAGATTAAAGTTAACAGCGTTGCCGTTCTATCGCACAAATCATATGGAAGAGGGTGCGCCAAGCACTTTCCTGTAGAGTAAGCGGTTCAAAAATACATCATATGTATATCTTACTCCCTTACTCGCGAGTTTGGACCAGATGCCTCCGATACATTTTGTGCCTACTTTCCGGTACTCATGTTGTTTGGTTAGTGGTAACAGGCAGAAGGAAGTATCTCCGACCTCATAAAGTATATATATTCTTGATCAGCATCAATAGCCGAGTCGATCTAGCCATGTCGGTCTGTATGACCGTCTTTCCGTATGTATGAACGCAAGGATCTCAGGACCTATAATAGCTAGAGACTTGATTTTAGATGTAGGTGCTTCTAGTGTCTGCGCAGATCGAGTTTGTTTCCGATAATCAATAGCTTACTCCGTTTCCAAGCAATCGATATCGATTACCTGTTTTTTGGGCAATTTCGGTAAATAATGAAGCGTGTCACCAAACATGATATGTTGCTTCTAGAATATATATATATATGCATTTGATGTTGGTAGAAGAGGGTTCAGGGTATCCCCTAGCCGGTAGCTCCCGACTAGAACCTCTTATTTGTTTTTAATTTATCATTAAATATGTTCTCTAAGTGCCCTAAGTTTAAATCTTACTTTTAACCGACCCTTTTATAAACTTCAATTTATATGATGGTGATGATGGTTAATATAAAGATTTGGTTCTATGTATCGGGTTCGAGCCTTGGCGGCATAGTATTGCATAGACTAATATACATATGTATGTTCTTGGATAAATATATGCTCTTGCAATTATCAAATCTATCTCTAAGATTGGGCCAAAAGAATATGTAAATGTTGTCAATAAATAACACACATTCATTATTAATTGCATTTTGTCGTTTATTTGTATTCGATTTAAAAAATTTGAGTTTATATGTCATATTTTTGGGTCAATAGCCGCAAATATACCACAAATTCACATACATAGTTCAAGAATCAGATTTATTTTTTGCAAGTACTTCGCACAATATGTATGTATATAGGTGAGGTCTGTCGCAGCCGAATTCAAACCGAACCGAAACTGGGACACTTAGATGAATTTTGTGTATTTGTAGATGTTCAGTGAGGATGCCAGCAGTCAAGAAAGTGGCACAGTTGACGGTTGGTCTGTTGGTTAGCTGTTTCAGTTAACTGTTTGTCAGTGAGTTTATCATAATGTCAAATAAAAAATGTGCACACATACATTATAAATGAACGTAAATTAATGGATAGAATTGTAAAAATTATAAAATATTGTACATTTTGCTTATGTGTAAGTATGTTTGGCAACAGAATTTCGTTTATCTCTAAAGTACATATATGAAATAGGTAATATACGATCATAAGAGAGCTAAAATTACTATCTCTGCCAGTATTACATTTCCTGTACTAAGTTGTGTTCCTGTACCAAGTGTTTGTTGCTCTCGAATTTTCAAAAATAAATATATATGCATGCGCGTGTGCGAAGAATGAATACTTATAAGATGATATATATTTGATGACCAGTCTAATATTTATTATTATGATTTTTTTTTCGTTTTTTCCACACAATTCTGAATAGAATTTGTATGGGTATATATTATAATGAAGTTGTTCGCAAATTTTCGAAGTTAAATGTAGCTTAGGCCTCGGAGCTCAAGACGTTTACCGAAAACGCACACAAGCTTTCACCCTTTTTGGACACAGCCCTTGCCTGATATTGTCCCACATCATCTAATGTACATTTATTTACTGAGAACTTATAGCGATTGCTATCCTTAGTAAATGAGTATCGGGCGCGTGCTTCATCTATGGGTTTTCCGTCCTTCAGCCAAGCCAAGTTAATCAGCTCGCCGTCGGATTCACATTCGAAAGTGGCGTTTTCTCCCTCCGTAACCGAAACGGAAACGGGGAATTTAACAAATGTCGGCACCTTGGGTTCGTCTCCAGGTACATTGACATTAATTGTACAGGTACTGAACGATTCGCCAGCGTCGTTAAAGGCCTCGCATGTATAGGTGCCGCCGTCTTCGGGAAAGATTTCGGCGATTTGTAGACGATAGATATTTGCCTCATTCGAATATTGGAAGTCCTTGCTTGGCTTTATTTCTTTATTGTTGTGCAGCCAAACGACATCAAAATGATCAGCGCCAATAATGCGACAAGCCAATGTTACCGCATCCCCGTCCTTTACAAATCTTGATTCCAAGTGGCTTACTATCTTTGGTGGCTTGTCACTGCCAGTTGGCAGACGTTTGCTTGACTGCTTATCCAAAGCTGATTGAAAATTGAATGGATGTACAAAGAAAATATGAAAAAGAATTAATTCCAAAAAAAACAAAATAAAGAAAGAAACACACTTACGTTTAATTGTTAGCTTGCACTTTGTTTCGACTGAGCTAATCGAGTTTGTTGCCGTGCATGAAAAGACTCCTTCATCTTCGGGAAAAACTTCATGAATAGTGAGCGTTGCGATGCCGTTTTTGTATTTAAGATCCATTATTTCAGAAGAGGATATCGATTTGCCATTCTTGGACCACGTTATTTGTGGTTCCGGATCGCCTTTTACGTGGCAAGTCAACAGCAACTGCTCGCCATCACTTATTGTTAAATCATGAAGTGGCTTTGTAAACTCTGGTTTACACATTAAGGAATCGTCGGGAGGAACTGTGTGCAATGATAATATGCATTATCTATTCTATTTTGCTAACTTAAGGTACGTACGTATCAGCTCTTTGGTGGCACTGCGAGATCGTGATGGGCTGCCGGGTGCCTGTAAGCTACTAGCCGCATATTTCTTTTTGCTTGAAATGCTATTCTGTGTTGAGGAACTTGAATTGGTGATGACAGTCTGAGAAAATTGCGTCCGATTACTGATCGAATTTACAAATAATAAAAAACTTAGCCATCATTTACCTTGCCATCCGATGTCGTTCTAGTGCTTGATGTTTGCTGCGAGTTGCTGGAAGTAGCTGACGATGTAAACTGGCGGGTTGTTATAATCGGGGGTGGTGTTGGCTTGAAGTGTTGCTCTATATACTTGCGATCTATTGCGGAAAATATTAATTGAGTTATGTATTATATATATGTATGTTATATATAGGGTTTCAAGCAACAAAATCTAACAATATAATATTTATTATTATTTTTTT